TAATATAATATAATATAATATAATATAATATAATATAATATAATATAATATGCAAATACATATTTTTAGTGACTGTTGGTCAATTCACAATTCAACCCTTGTTGGGTTCTCTCCTAGGAGATTCTTATCTACACTTCAGGCTACTTCATAGTTTTCTTCTCTCCTTAACAGACTCTGTGTTATGAGAAACTATGAACTAGGAATCAGAGACTTAGCAAGTACTATTGCATTTAACTGTCACAATTCCAAAAGAGGTGATTATTAAAAAATCAGAGGAATAAAGATTAGAACTAAATTTTCCAATGGAGTCAGGCACAGCATTCTTAGGAATTTTTCTCATTATGTTACTTAAATTGTGATCAGCTTCACATATTTAAAGGCTGACAAAACACTTGTTTTACCTGGATGGTTTTAAATTACTTAAGTCAGCAAAGAGACAGACAGTGTCTACAGCTTCCACACAGCTCATCACTTGAATACAAACTGAAGCCTTATATTGCTATCATTTTCCTTTCATCAGATCTGTTGACTCTGCTGATTTCTTTTCACTGGATTCATAAAAAATAATTGGGTGATCACACAGAAGGCAAGAAGCCTTCCATATTTACATTTGATTATTATTAAACTATTTTAAACTATTTTATGAGATGTGTGACATGAACAGTGTGTAAGGGATATATCCATGTATGAGGCAAACAAGGTCTCAAACCTATTCTCATGGTGCTCACACATAGTGGAAAACACTAATTATTAGGTAGCTTATAGTAGATAGCAAATATGGGTTGCTATGAGAAAACATGGAAGGATGAATTGTCTTCATCCAGGGGTGGAGAGGGAGAGTAGTTTTCCTGGAGGAAAATGACTTAAGCAGCATCAGTAAAACCTGGGAGATTTGAAAAATGGAACTTCTCAGGTCTGTTAAACCAGAGTTATCAATTCTGAATTTCTGGGTATGAGGTACTGAAGTCTTTGTTTAAATGCATCTCTGGGTGTTTCAGATACATGCTGAAGTTGGGAACCAGATGATACTTAAGCTGCACATTAGAATCACTTTTACATTGGGTAGATGCTGTGTGGCCCCACCTCCAGAGAGGCTGATTCAATTAGTTTGGGATAGATCTTGGGAACTGGCATTTTAAAAGCTCTGGGTTATTAGAATGAGATCTTAAAGTGTAGTCAGCTTTGACGCCACTTCTTTAAGCTGACAACTGAAGCCAGACAGTGGGGGTTGGGAGTGGCCAGTCTCCATGTGATGTGAGAGAAAATCTAAGGCAGTGAATCTGGGGACCTGATAAATCTGGAGGGTACACACAATAAAACTCCATGGCTTAAAATAAAGTTCTTAGCTGTAAATTTACATGCTTATTGCAGCACTTCTTAAACTTTAATGTGCATAGAAATTATCAGAGAATCTTGTAGAAACAGAGATCTTCATTCAGCAGAGAGAGTACCGCCTTAGCGTTCCTGAGAACACATGTCAGAGAGTGGGTGGAGTTGTAGAAAGATGTATCTGTTAATTAGTCCCACGTCCAAAATAAGAGCAACCAGTTAATGTAAACTGGGGTTGTCTATTGCTGGGTGGGTATGTTTTAAGGGTAAGGAGGAAAGAAGCAACCTAGCACACTTTCCAGCCAGATATTATGATTATTTTCCATCAAGGTTGTACTGCTTTTAGCTTAGCAATTTCAACCCCCCCACCTTCATCCAGCCCCAATCTAGATGAGTGCGTCTCCTGGTGAGGCCAGCAGAGCCAGCTCATTAAGTGACTGCTCTGGCGCTCTGTAATGTGCCAGTCAGTCAGGGAGGCGCTGGCCAAGTAGGGGGCTCTCCGGGGCACCTCTTTCAGTATTTTCCCTCTTCCCGTCTCCCCTGACAGCGCTGCGGTGCCTGCCTGCGGCAGAACATCTTTCTGCAGCAGCCCCTCGCACTTGCTTGCACTTCTGGGCGCTGTCCATGGTTGCAGCATCTTTCGGCGTGCCACGTCAGGAGGCCGCAGTGGGGCCCTGTGATTGGCTGAGGAGCCCCTTGCCACCCTCCCAGCACCCCCGCCCCAGCTTCGGGGCTCCCAACCCCAGCCCCCACAGGGCAGGCGTGTGCCAGGGAGCTTGGTGGGCGCGTCCTGGGGCTCCCAGGCGGCACACCCACTTTCCTTATTAGGGCAGAGTAGGGTGTTTGGAGCAGCGGCAGGGCGTGGGGGTTGGGTAGGGAGTCCTGGGACACCGGACTGAGGGCACAGCCATCATCTCTGCCGCCTCCGAGCGGCAGGAGGGAGCACCTAGCCCTTGCGCCCAGGAGAGCGAGCGACTTTCCCCAGACCTTGCTCCTCTCCCTGGGCGCAATCTTCATCTGTGTTCTTCTAGTACCTCTGGTGCAAACGTCTCCAAAGGACATGGAAGAATTTTTGCAACGTGCCAAATCTAAGCTGGTAAGTTAAGGAAGCAAGGCGGTGTGCGTGTGTGCGTGCGTGTGAGTGTGCCTGCGTGTGAGTGCGCGCTTATGCTGGTGGAGAAAAAAGGACATTGCAGCAGAGGAGGAAGGAAGAAATAACTTTTCCACTTAGTTGTCAGGGTGTGGGTGGACCCCTGGAAAGAATCTCTGTGACTCTGGTGCCTCCTGTAGACATCTGTCTCCAGAATCTTTCCCACAGCCAAAGTGCAGAGCTGGGGGTGTTCATCGTCAGGCAGAAGTTAGGTCTTGGGTGTCTAGCTTTGCTCTTTCTGTCCTGATGTTGGAGAGAAGCTGTTTTAGTCAAATCTGCAATTTCGTTCTGATGCCTAAAAGATTAATGGGTGTGGTGCTCCTTGAGAAAGGGTTCAGCCTTCTGCCGAAGCACTCAGCATTAAGTATAAAAGGAAAAAAGAATCTTATAAAACCGTATTTATTTGGAGATGGTAGCAAAACAGAAGTGAGGAAGTCAGGATGCCAGCTGTAAAGGAAGTGTGAGAAGGCACAGCTTACCAGATATCCCTCAAATAGCACTCGCTTCACCTCAGGAGTTGGGGGTAGCCTGGCGTGAATCCCCCATGTTTCCGATTCCCACTTAGATCTGTAACTCGAGGCAGGCATAAAGAGAAAGCCCCAACTGTTGCTGTCCATGTGGGATTTGTTTGGTCATTATTCTGAGAGAAGACCAGCTCTGAGGCTGGGTATGTTTTTGCTGTCCAAATAGTGAAGTATAATATCAATGTATATGTTGGCAGTTGTTACCCATTCTGGAAAAACAGATTCTAGCAGTTTCCTAGTTCCAAACTGCTTTTAGCTCTCCTGCATAGCATAATAAACATAATGGACATGTTTCTGTTTCAGCATTAAAAAAAAAAAGCTTCTGTCCATTTAGAAGCAATATCTTTAATGAACAGTGAAAGTACCTTTTATGGATTTGGCATAGGAGGAAATGCATAATTTATGAAACCTTTAGCTTGTAAACCTTCATTGAAGCCAAAATATAAAGCCTGCATTGAGGTGACGTCTTAATCACAAGGCAGGATATTTGCAGGGTTATTGTTATAACTCATTTACCCTGGAACAACAGAGGAGTGCCGACAGAATTGTGAATCTTACCATGATTTAACTGTAAGTATTTTTTTAAAAGACTAGTAAAGTTGATTAATGCTAATACAAGGACTTTGTTTTCTAGCCTAAGCCTCCCAGATTGCTGGATGTTGTTGGAGCTTTCAGAATTGAGAAACTTTTTGCTTATTTTTGAGTTTATTGCTGATCTCCTCATAGTTTTATTTGAGCACACAAGGGAAAATACTGATTGTAGACCCTCACTTGTATTTCTGAAACTATGAGTATGCTGTCTGTTCCTAACAAAGAGTGAAAAATGGGCAAGAAGGAAAGTCCATTTTGGTAACTTTTATTTTGTGGATGAAAAAGAATAATAAATACTATGTGAAGTTTTAAGCTGCACCTATGTTCCACTTCTGTAGTATCTATTTTAACAATAAGCAAGTTGTAGGGCCTGATGTGTACAAGAGGTTTGTCTCGTTTCTGAAGAGCAATTGCTGGAATGGGAAAATTCCCTTTTTCAAAGTAATCAGTCTAAAGTAATGTGCAAATTTATTTACCGAGTCCCTTCATTAGCCGAGCAATTGCTTCTACATCATTAAAAGAGAAAGACTGCAAAAAGAAGTGGTTGTTTGAAATACTGTTCCTAGTTTCCTGCTTAAGCTAGAAGAATAATTACTGCTAATTTAATTTTTCTTGGAATAAGTTTCCTGTTAGAGATCAAAATTAGCCTTTTATAGTCAGCTACAGCAAAGGTATCCTGGTCACTTTTAGTGTCACATTTCCTCTGAAAAATTATATTTTTAAGCAAATACAATTTTTATTTAATATGCAACATTTAACAATATTAGTATACTTTTGCCTTGAAGGGTAGGTAAATTTTGTTTAAGAAAAATTACTGTCAGTAATTATGACATTCAATTGTGAGCAGTTTACTCATGATAAAATTACCAGATTTTAAAAATGTAAACCAATCCTTTGGAAAATACTTTAAGGAGAAAAAATAAGGTTTTTGTCTTTGTAGACCAGAATTAGATAGACGTAGGTGTTATGTTTAACCTGTTTTTTTCCATAGGCATTAATATAGATTTATCTATATGATGTCTAAAAAAAAAGCCTAATGGACAGGTTTTCCCTTATCTACTTGATGTCCTGCTTTGATATTCTTTAGGCATAATATGTACCTTTTAATGGCTTGAAATAGCCACTGTACCTTTTAAACTTTTAACATAACCTTATCCTTGGAGATAGCTAACTTAATAGACAAAAGGATTTTTTTTTTTATTTCTAAATGGAATGACGACAGCTATTAGCCATAGATAAAATCCTCAGTAGTCAAAACTTTGGGGAAAGTGATTCTGTGTCTTGTATTTCTGATTAGGAGCCCTTATTTTTCATCTGTCATTGTAAGGAGAGGAGAAATTCTCACATTCTAGGACAGGACCTTGGGTTGGGCAGAAATCTTTGAAGGGAAAGAGGTGTTTAGAATTTTAATCAGGTATTTTGGAACTTATATTTATTGAAACTGAGTTTATTCAGTTCTATTTTTCATCCCATTGTGGTCTTTAAACTGAAACAAACTTACTAAAATAATTCTAGTCTATTTTTCAGTTCTATTTTTCATCCCATTGTGGTCTTTAAACTGAAACAAACTTACTAAAATAATTCTAGTCTCCATTCCTCTAAATCTCTCCTTCCCATAAAAAGCTTCAAAAAACACACCATTTATCAGAAGTGGCAAAAACTAAACCCCAAGTATAACCTCTAAAGGATCACTTTTCCTGAAACTCAAGTGTTATTCCGTATTAGGACCGGCTTGGGGCGTGGAGCTTCTTTGCCAATAAATAGACAAATAATTAAATAATCTTAGCTGAAGGTGGAGGGCGTCAAAAAAAGTCATCACTCCTTCCAAGCATAGTCTCCAGAAATGGTACCTTCTTGACAAGTAGGAAATTGATGCAATGACAGAATAGTCAAGACAGTTGAGGATGTACTGAGAGTAAGACCTCAAGGCAGGGGAGATGGTAATCAGCAGTGATAGTTTTTAACCTGGATTTGTTCCCCAGTGTGAGACTCCAGCTGCTTCTGATCCAGACAGGTACTGCTAGACCTAGAAGTTAGAGTGAGAAGATAATTTCTTTTTCTCCTGCCTTTGACTACCTGGCTTTCCTTCCACTTGTTCATTAAGAGCTGGCATAGGGACAGAGATGAAGTCCTTTCATTCCTGCCTTACATTTTCCCCCTTCTTTTTCTTAAATCATTCTATTATTTTTATTGAGGTAACCATGGTTTATAACTTGTGTATGTTTTGGGCATATAGAGTCACACTTGTTTAAACATACATTACAACACCACACTGACCACCTGAACACCCATAATGCTCTGATTTGCTTTACTGCTGTATCTGTTTATGCCTTCCTTTTTAATTTTAGTTACACTATTTCTGTGGTGGTATCTTAGTAATTCGTAACTGTACCTTTCCTTATGGTAATAGAAGTTGAAAGAGGTAAGCAAGGAAGACCCCTGCCCTAGGTTGTGACTTGGGAAATGTTCTCCAATTTTGGAGTAGTCCACTTAGTAGAGTGTTCAGGCTAAGCTATTGTCAGGATGGCTCAGGTTTCCTTGAACTTTGGGGGATAAATGAAGTAAATGAGGAATGAGAGACCTGAGGCTCCAATTGGCAGGAAGCCAGGGTCCCCACACTGGGTAGATGGCTGCTTAGTTCTCTGCCCCCACCAGCTTAGACAGTTCAGGCAGCTGCTAATGCATGGGGGTCCCTGCAGCCCACATGCCCTAAGACTAGGTCATTAAGTAGTTTTGGGAGTGTTAGCTTACACCAGAAGGACACAGTGTACAACAATGTCCCAGGAATGCTGTTTTCAAGAAGAAGGTAGGGATAGGGTCACCACTACAGTCTGGGGAATGCATCTGCCACTTGGTAGTGACAGCTGCTGACAAAGGCCTTATTTCTGTGGTGGGCAATCCATGGACTTCTGTGGAAGAAAAATTCCGAATGACCTAACTATCAGCTTATACTCTGTGATATGTGGCATAGGAACAAGAAACACATTCAAAAATTTAAACGAACAACCACATTCAAGTTGATGAAGGATTTTTTTTTTTTTAAAGAAAGAAAGACTCACTCTGCAGCATGTCTGCAGAGTAATCATCTTGAGAGGAAACTGGAGGAATATATTCCTTAGATTTCCTGTAAAGGTGCTGTTTATCAATAAAATGCATCTTTAGAGTAAAATCTCCATACCTTTTAAAAGTTGCTGTGGTAAGGGCTAATGGTGGAGACATTGGAGGCGAGGTTTCATTTGGGGAGCTGAGCTCATTCTGATCACAGACCACAGGATCAGCTCCTTCCTGGTTTAAGCAAAGGCAGATGCAATCAGTGCCTCTTGCCAGAACATTCCTGAGTGAGAAACTCTGGAATCCAAAGCACTTCTGTGAATCTGGTCCCCACCACTTAAGGACTGATGCGAAGTGAGCCCTGAATTGCTTTATTCCCAGAGTCAGCTCCATTTTTCACTGCTCAAGCATTCAGACTCACAGCCTCAGATTGTGCCAGCCCCAGGTCCCATGGAGAAGAACTAGACTTTTCAGCATCGCTCTGCCTCAAAGGTAGCGATTATAGCAACTATGTCATTCAGAGTACCCTGGGTCTTGGTGGACTGTGATCATGTTAGCAAGAATACCCTTAAGTTAAGTGATTTAGAGAATGTTTTACATTAATTGGGTTGATAAGGTGGTAGCTTTGGTATAGTCTATTTGTTTCTGTGTAGCGTTTTCTTGGGCAGATATTTACATTGGCTTGGGGTTGGTATACAGCTTGGAAACTTGTTGTGTAAGCAACAGTAACTTGGTGATGGAACTATCACTCCTCCCTTACATTCATGCCTCACTGGAAAG